TCTCTCTCTCTCTCTCTCTCTCTCTCTCTCTCTCTCTCTCTCTCTCACACACACACACACACACACACACACACACCAGTGGAGGCTTACTGCACTAGTTTTTTAGTTTTCTTTTTCTTTTTGTTTAAAAATCAGGATGAAACTCTACTACTTATATTTGCTACCAAATTTCAGCAGCATGATTGGGGGTAGGCAGGACGATCCAGAGGCTGTGGGGAAAAAAACTCTATACACTATATAGCTCACAAAATACGGTTTAATGCTATTGAAATATTGCAACAGCAAAGGTTGTTTCAGCTTCCCCAGAGTGAACTATTGTACTATGTTATCCGAGTTATGAGGATTGTGTAAAGAACATTTCATTATAAATTGCATTTCATTGACCACTGTCTTGGGGCATTCACAGGTCATTGAGTTTTACAGTGATTTCAACAGATCCCAACTTCTATCTAAACAGTCTAGTTTAATGATGCCCAGAGATTAGTCATCTACAGGGGTTGGAATTTAATTTTATCAAAATGGCTAGCACAACCAGGTAACTCAAATCTTGGATTTTTTTTTAATGTGTATATAATGCATGTGATGCAAATTTAAAAAGGCAGGGCTTCAGTCACCTGGTTGCGTGCACCATTTTGATGTTGTTGACCCCCACCCACAAATGTTCCTGCCAGAGATCATTTGTAATACACAAGAAAAATAGGCTTGCTTCTCCCATCAATAGTCCCTTTTCCCAAGCTAATAACTAATATCTCACAGGGATCATACAAAGATTCAAGTTGTGTAGCCTGGGGAAATGCAATGGGAGTCACTCTTGGTTCTATCTGCACTTTGCAAAATATACTTTTTAAGGTGAATTGAATGAAACCTTTTATTTTTTAAATAAATATCTAAATCTTATATTTACAGATCGCCCAGGTCTTGTCAGCGTTGAAAGAATAGAAAAGTGTCAAGAAAGTTTCCTCTTGGCGTTTGAACACTATATTAATTACAGAAAGCACCACATTGCACACTTTTGGCCAAAACTGCTGATGAAAGTGACAGATCTACGAATGATTGGAGCCTGCCATGCTAGCCGCTTCCTGCACATGAAGGTGGAATGCCCCACAGAACTCTTTCCTCCTTTGTTCTTGGAAGTGTTTGAGGATTAGAAAGACTGAAGAGATTCTTGGAAATTCTATAGCACTACTGGGTGTCATTTCATTCCATTGCCTAGTTTTCTTCTTCTTACTTTTGGTCCATTCCCATTTTGTTCCACCTCGTTTGGAGGATTATTTTTAATAGGCACGAATGAATGAAGATGTCCCTTCAATGCGGGTACTTGTCACAATTGCGTTTTTTTGTGTGTCCTTTACTCCTTTCGATGTGAATCCTTTGAGAGTTTGACCTCGAGAATTTTAAGTGTATTCACCAGCACTCAGGTGACCCATGCTTATACTCATTGTTTGGAGAGAGATGGATGAAATATAAATAAGTTGAGGTAGCAAGAAAATGGATAGATAATTCCTGCCATATTTTATACAGTATTAACTCACTTTCTGTATGTGAGTCTTCTGCTGAGGAATTCAGCACAGCCTAGCAAGTGTTAGTCTTGCTGAAGACCAAATGAAATCAGTTGCAGTTGTATACAAGCTGGTGTATAATTCAGCTGTATAGAGTTCACTGCAGTGTGCTCCCAGATAACCAGGTATAGCATTGCAACTTTAGCCATGCCTAATTTCACCTTGCCATACTTAAGAATAGGTATTTTTATCCAGCTGAAGCTTCCCACCACAATTATAATTACATCATCATTTTGAGGTTATTATGAGTATCTTAGAAATCTAATTACAGGTAGTCCTCACTTAACAACTGCCCTGTTTAGCAATGATTCGAAGTTACGACGGCACTGAAAAAGTAGCTTTGCGACCAATCCTCACACTTATGACTGTTGCAGCACCTCCACAGTCACATGATTAAGGTTTGGGTGCTTCACAACCGGCGGGTGTTTACAACCATTGCAGCACCCCACAGTCACGTGATCGCCATTTGCGTACTTTACAGCTGGTTTTCAACAAGCAGAGTCAATGGAGAAGCCAGCAGTAAAATTGCAAGTCACAGTCATGTGATGTCTCATTTAACAACTGCAGATGATTCACTTGACAACCGCAGTGGGAGTGACGTCACATGATGCTTCACTTAACCGCCTTGCCTGTCCCAACTGTGGTCGTTTAGTGAGGATTACCTGTATTTGTCTGACTGCATCTTTTATAGAACCTTTGACACCTTTAAAAAAAGCTCCAGAATGCAGGCAGTCTTTTTTTTTCCAAGTGAACATTGCTTCTCATTTCCTCAGTCCAAAAACGAAACTGGCCAGGAAGGGAATAAATAAATTTAAAACTTCCACAGAGCCAAGGCCCTTAATCTGTTTTCTTTTTAATGGTAATTTGGATGCATTAGAGGCGTCATTGGCTGTATTTCTCACACTTCCCAGAAATTATTTTAATAAGAAACTGAGTCAGTAGCAAGATACACTACTACTATAGTCAGTTATGCTGGCCCCTTGCCACTTATATGCTTTAAAATATTAACATGATAATGTCTTTAAGAGATTCCCTGTTTCCCTCCATTCTGTCTGTTTTAGTGCATGCAGTTCCTAAACCATAAAACATCTGTGCAAGGAATTCCTCCCATTTTACCTCTCTCTCTCTCTTATTTTCCAGCTCAACAAAAATTAATATCAGGTGTCTGTAATAGACCTTTCCACTCTGTTTTGTATATTCATACATCCTTTTTCTACCTGTATACAGTTACCCTTCCAGTGACTCTAAATCAGTAACCTGGATCCCGGGATTTGTGAGTCTCATTTTATACAGCCAAAGGATATGGGCCTTTAGTTTTTTGTGAACAGTAATTGCCACAAAGTGCCATGTGCTATGACATGGAAACCTGTTTCAAGAAAAAAGAATTGAACAGAATGTAAATGGTTAGATACACTCAGGCTTTTGGATCCTATTCCAGATGAATAGCTGAAATTCTAGATTCAGAGTCACTTTGTCCTCTTCAGAAATGTTTGCACTCAGGTAGACTGTCACTGTGGACAAAATTAGAACTGTAATATTCTTTTCAGCCATGCTTAATTCCATTGGCAGTGGAAGTCTTTTCAGTCTATATGCACCAAATAGCCAGAGTCCAGTGCAGAGTTAGGTATATTGTATTTAAGTTATTTTCAGTGGCTTAAATACACTTGATTTACAATCTACAAATAGTAGTCTTTGTCAGTAAATGTGAAACCATGCCAGTAAAATTTTCAGTCTGTATGAATTGGATGGGGGAGATGCTTCTTAAATATAAATGACATGCTGACTTCGGTGTTTTAGCTTTTACAAAACGAAATTCCACATTCCACATTGCTTTCTGTAAAACATTTGTAGTTCTACAGCAGCATAAATTAAGATGTCATTGAGTTTGCCTTATCAAGGAATTTTTTTCCTGAAAGTTATTTTCTCTTGGATTATATCCTCTATGGGGCTTCACTTGCATTATGTTCCTTTGATAAACTAGATGTGCCTACAGAATAGGCGTAGAAGATTATTGTCATTGGAGAGACTGTTACAGACTTTGCAGTTTCTTACCTTTTACAAATTTCTGATGACATAAGCATTTACACAATTTCAGAGTTGATTACTAGCTTGAGATCTCTCAAAATGATTATCCAAAAACACAGTTGAATCCACTTGGGAAATCTTTCCAAAATGGTCACATTTAAATCTGCCCAGACAAAATATATGTGAAGAACATTGGAGGCAATCAGCTTATTTGGTAAGAAAAGAAATGAAGATGTACTATATCCTATGATTTTTTTCTCTCTCTTCAATTCAACCTACCCAGAATTCAGAGGTGTCCACAGGATTGGAGGCTTTCATCAAAATGATGACAGCATTGCACTATTGCATTGCAAACTTTGTTCTTTTCCTACATGTGTGCTTTGTCATGACATATGAGCAAAAGGGGTGGAGCTTATAATGGAATGCTGCTTCATCGTTTGACCTCCCTCACAGAAGCTTTTGCTGCAATCAGGCCTGTTAGATGCGTTGTGAATGCAATTCCCAAAATTACTAATCAACATGCCAGAAGCTCACCAAGTTGCAGAAGTATAGAGTGGTACTGGGGGTGGGGGGAGATATATCTCATTTCCCTATGCCATTTTTATTATTTAAATATCCATCTCTTATTTACCTTGTTAAGAAAAATACAAGAGTATACATATCTATTATTAACTTAATAAGTAGCATTATACGGTAGCTGATTTAGATCACAGTACAAGCAGAAGTAATTTCTAAAATCTTCCTAGTGTTGCTATTCTTCTTCCCTTTCTCAAATATAAATGTCTATGTTAATGTTTACTTCGATGTAAACCTGTCCAAGATCGTAACCTAAAAGAGAAAGGGGCATCTACACATGTTATGTGTAAGTCTCTAGAATACCTCACTTAACTGTTGGCCTTAAGTCCCTCCAGAACTCTTGAGATTTTCTTCAAAGTAAAGTAATAATTGGAATCTAGAGGGTTTTTTCCCCAAAGAACTCCAAGGTTTTCCTTTGCTGAAGAAGACAAGGAAATAATCTTGGACCCAATTTGTTGGGTCCAATAGGTGTGATACTCCACAGCTACATCTACTGCTGCCTTTACCTTGAGCAGTGAGGAATCTCCCTATTGCTATGGAACAGTTCCCATTCTAGAAGAGTAGAGCTCTAACAAATCAAGAACACAATAAATGTTATGTTTTGGATTTGCATTAGTTCTTTGTGATAAGATATTCTAAAACTAAGCCCCCATTTAAACAAAAGAATTGGTTTGTATTTGGTTTTCAATATGCTTTATGCTATTCAGACAACAGTCCATTGGTATGGGTTTCCAATGTTCGTCCATCAAAACTCAAGAGCCACATTTTCATGTGTTGAAGTTTGATCTCTCAAACTCAATGGATATCCTGACCTCAGGATTCCAGTTGCTCTTGGTTTTTTGTTTTTGTTTTATGTGTAAGTCTGTAGATGTTACAATGGTTTCCATTTTTATTTACACCAGAGAAACAGAGATATTATTTTAAATTGTTAGAGTCTGATCTCTCAGGTTTCTTTTAAACAAATAAAATAGTCCTAATCCTGCAAGCACTGGTATAAGATTTTAAGAAACTTCTGGCAGCATCTTCAGCTATAGATTTCATAATGATTACTAGGAGTGGTAAGTTCTGCACCAATTTATTCTCTGTGGGGAGGCTTTTTGGCTGACTACAAGACATCTGAATTTTTGACTATGCAGCTTTAATTCTGATTGTTTATGGTATCCCATGCTATTCAGGTTTGTTTTCTGCTGTAGTTATAGTATCAAGTGGATCATTTCTACAAAATATCATGATTTTTCTTTTTAAAAATAATTATTATCTTTAATAAGCCATGCTCTAAATTATAAGTATTTAAGCTGCCCTGGGTTTAATGTTGCAGTTGAGTTCCATAGTGTTTTTAAACTGGGAGGGAAGACAGTGATGAACTTTACAATGAAATAACCATTTTTAAAGCAACCATTTTAAAAGCAACAACACTGTGCCAAAATATAGGTGTCAGAATTAGACATTGAACATTTCTGATTTATCTTTGTATTAAATAATTTACCGCGGTAGAGTTAAAAAGACAAAACAAAGTCAAAAGAAAGATGGATGATTTGTAGAAGGCAATCTGCCCATACTGCTCTATAGACCACAAGAAAAGCATATTATTGTTAGTGATATATTTTATGCTGTGGAACCTTAAAATGTTGATGTCACATTGACATGCTCCATAAATTGTCAGTAACATCACTTATGGTTTTTAAGTCTTATGGTTTTTCAAATGCAGCCAATGTTTTTTGTAGAACTAGGCCTGTATTTCCTCTGTTAGCAATTAGAATCAAAACTGGTGAAGACTCATTCAGTTCTTGCCTTAACAAAAAGCAAGTGGGGTCCATAGGATTTAAAAAAAAAAATGAGATGAATAAAGCCAGGAACATCTGACTTTATTTCTCAGCTGTACTATTGACTTACAGGGTAACCTTGGGCAAGTCACTATCAGCCATTTCTGCCAGAATAAGTTTCTGCCTCATTTTGATAGTTAAGATAAATGTTGATAACATTGTACACTCATTCATGATCAACTAAGAAATATTTCTTTGCTTGCCTTTTTGCAGCTTTGAAATAGCAAGACATACAGGAGACGTTATGCTATCTCCTGTTGTAATTTTCTGCTAATAGTTTGATTTATCAGATCTTTCCTTTTGATATTACAATGATATGACCCTTGAATAAAATTTTACAGAGACATGATATCCTAGAGAGTAGGGGTTTATTTTCCACAGACACAAACAAAAAGCAAACAGATTTGTTTTAAAATAAATTATGGTTCTTTTTTAAAAACACACATAAATACAAACAGATTGTCATAATTTTAAAAAGGTTTGGCCTTTCTCACAAAGTTTTTACCGTGTTGTATAAATGCTATCAAATGCAAGGAGTCTGCCTTGCTTCTGTGTATTAATCCCCATTCAACTATGTTGCCTTCAGAAGCAGTATTGTGCAGGTAAAAAGCTGTTTGTGACTATCTATTTTGCACAGTTTAACTTTATGAAGCTAATCGTTATTTATGCACAAGACAATCAAATGTAAATCTACATCCATGCAGATGAAATTGATGTAAATTACTGAGCACAGTGTAAAACATTAAAAAGACACTTTAATTTTGCAACTGAAATTATGAAAGTGAGAAATAAGATCATACCACCATGGCATGAAAAAATAACATTTAATTTTTTAGACTATTTTTTCCTTATGTCAATTCTTTTAGAATTCCTCAAAATGACTTTTTGTTTCTTTTC